AGTTTACAAAGCGGTTAAAATCAATTAAAATTACAATATAAAATAATCCTAAATAAATAGAAAATAAATATAATCCAAGGGAAGATGTTAAACTTGGCAGTAACTTGGGGAGTGTCATCAAAGTGCCAGCCACCCCCAGGACTGGGTAAGATTCATGTCACCCTATGCAAGCTGGCAGAGCCAAGTCTTTAATCCTTTCTGGAAAGCTGGGAGGGTAGGGGCCTGCTGCACCTCTGTGGGGAAGAATATTCCAAAGGGTGGGGGGCAACGGCAAAAAAAGCTCTCCTCCTGAGCCCTGCCAGCTGACATTCTCTCGCCAATGGGGTCTGCAACATGCCCTCTCTGCCTGACTGGGTGGGACAGGTTGATGTGACAGGGTTAAAACGGTCCCTCAGGTAACCTGGACCCATGCCATGTAGGGCTATAAAGGTCATAACCAACACTTTGAATTGGAACTGGAAGCAAAGTGGCAACCAATGCAGCTTTCGCAGTAAAAGTGTTATTTGTGCCATTCTTGGGGCACCCAAGATTGTCTGCACGGCCACATTTCGAACCAGCTGTAGCTTCCGGATACTCTTCAAGGGTAGCCCCATGTACAGCACATTGCAATAGTCTAGCCAAGAGATGACTAGGGCATGAGTGACTGACAGGAGCCTTCTGATCCAGGAAAGGGCATAACTGGAGCACCACACAGAGTTGGACAAAGGCCCTCCTGGCTGTGACTGCCACCTGCTCCTTGGGCAGGAGTTGAGAGTCCAGGAGGACTCCCAGATTACACACTGGGTCTGTCTGGAGCAGTACAACCCTGTCCAAAACCAAGGATGGTAAATCCTCAGATACAGAGGGGCCTCCAATCCATAGCCACTCCGATTTACCAGGGTTCAGCTGAAGTCTGTTACATCCCATCCAGACCCCACAGCCTCCAGGCACTGCAAAAGGGTGGTCACAGCATCACTCATGTCACCTAGAATGGAGATATATAACTGGGTATCATCTGCATATTGATGATACTTCATCCCATGGTAGCGGATGATATCACCCAGTGGTTTCATGTAGATGTTAAAAAGGAGCGGAGAAAGTACCGAACCCTGCAGCACCCTACAGAGGGGCCACGAGCTGGACCTCTCGCTCCCAATCAACACTGATTGGGACTGACCTTGGAGGAAGGAAGTGAACCAGCACAAAACTGTGCCGCCCACTCCCAACTCCCTAAGTTGACCCAAAAGGATACCATGGTTGATGGTATCGAAAGCCACTGATAGGTCAAAAAGAGCAAGGATGGATGCACTACCCCCATCCTGCTCCTGCCAAAGATCATCCATGAGTGCGACCAATGCCATTTCCATCCCATATCTGGGCCTAAAATCTGACTGAAAAGGGTCCAGATAATCCATTTCAACCAGTATCCCCTGGAGCTGCAATGCCACCATCTTCTCAACCGCCTTCCCTAAAAAGGGGGGGTGGGAGATTGGACGATTGTCCAGTATCGTGGGATCCAGTGGTTTCTTGAGGATGGGATGCACCAGCGTCTCTTTAAAGGCAGCTGGAAACATTCCCTCTCTCAAGGATGAATTCATCATCACCTGGACCCACCCACGTCACCTCCCGAGTAGCCTTGACCAGCTAGGAGGGACATGAATCTAGTTGACAAGTGATGGCATTAACCATCTGGAGGATCCTGTCCACTTCCTCAGGTTCAACTGGATCAAACTGTTCCCAGATAACAGGGTAAGAGCATACCCTGGGCATCTCTACAGACCATGCCTTATACTTGGCATCCAACTGGAACTGGATCTGAGTGATTTTATCCTCCAGATGCCTAGAAAACTCCTCTGTGCGGCCCTGTAGATGGGCCACTGGACTTCCCTCTCCCAAAGGGGATCAGGTGATCTTAAACAGGGCCACTGGGCAGCATTCTGCAGATGCAGTAAGAGCAGACATACTTACCGCCACAAGGTAGGCCTTAATAGTGGCTCTAGTATGTGTTTGGTTGGGTTCGGTCCTTGTTTTCCTCTAGCGGGGCTACATGTGTCTCTTAACCCTTTTCAAGACTCTCAGCTCCTCTGTAAACCATGGGGAGTGTGAGGCTTGATGGGTCAAGAGAGTTGCACAGTGCGATCTTGTCCACAGCCTCAGCCGTTTTCCTATTCCAGGTAGTGGCCAAGGCTTCTGCTGGACTGTGCAGCAGACTCTTGGGTATAACCCCCATCTCCCTTTGGAACCCAACTGGGGTCCATCAGTCGCCAAGTGAATGTGCCCTACCTCCCTGCGGAGGGGGGTAGCACAGGAGAATCTCAAGGCCACCAGGACATGATCTGACCATGACAAGGGGGACAGATGTAATTCCTGCTTCAGATCACATTGCCATTGCTCTGACAAGAAAACCAACTTCAGTGTGAGACCGCTGTCCCAAATTGGGTTACGGATAATCTGGGACAGGCCCATGGGCATCTTGGTGGCCATGAACTCCTGAGCTGCACCTGAGGCATGCCCTAGGGGCAGCAGATTGAAGTCCCCCAAGACCATAAGTCTGGGGAACTCTAGTGCCAGCCCCGCGATGGCCTCTAGCAGCTCAGGCAGAGAAGTGGCTACGCAGCAGGGAGGCCGGTACAGTAACAACAATCCCAACTGTGCTCGTGAGCCCAACTTCAGGAACAAGGTGTCACAACCGGCCACTTGTGGAGCAGTGCCATTGAAGGCCGAAAGAGATTCTTGAATGGTAACCACTACCTCTCCTCCCCTGCCCTGGGCTCTTGGCTGGTGCCGAACCATAAACCCGGCTGGGCACATTTCTGGGTACCCCTTCAGGGCCCAGCCAGGTCTCGGTGATACATGCCAGGTTGGCCCACTCCTCAGTGATCAAATCAGATATGTGGGGGGAGGGGCTTGTTGTTGACTGACCTGGCGTTAAGCAGCAGCAGCTGAAAGCCAGGGCCTCCATAGGGCTGCTGTCCAAGGCCTGGGTCTGAGTCCAGAGGGCTGGAACCCATCACCAGTAATAAACATTCGGGGTGTCTTCCCCAACAGCTGCCTGCCCTCCAACTCCCGTCATAACATCCCCTCCCCATCACCACCTGAATGGTATAATCCCCAGAGCTTCCATTCCCCACCAATCCCAGCCCTCTGGCTTTCTGGTCAGGGGTCCTTCCATCCAGCTAAATACCATCAGACACACCCAATCAACTATGGGGTGATGGCGGGCTCCACGGCACTTCAGCTCCTGCTCTCAGCACCCCTGGAGCCCTAACCGCCACCCCACTCATCCACTGTACTCCCTTGCCAGCCTCTCTCACTAGTTGGCCGGGGTCACCTGATCCACTCCCACCCCGATTCTCGCTGAGAGGGAGGGAGTATCCTTATCACACTCACACTCTCCACACATCCACCCTTGAGTCGCACTCCCTGTCTCTCACATTAGGGAGGTAGCACCCAGCCCTCTTACCCTGGAGGGACCCTAACACACCTCTGCCTTCTCAGGACAAGTTAGAGGGGCCAGCTGAATCCCCCTTGGCTCCAATTACTCGGGCCACTATTCTGGCTGCCACTCAATTGCTGACCAGGCTGTTCATAATTCAGGGTGTTGCCTGGGCCATGGCTGCCATCGCCCAAGTCCCTTCGGGGCCTGCCACTTGAGCTGCTCAAGCTCCAGCTCCACTGTTCAATTGGGGCCAGTTTGTGTCCCAGTTGTCGTTTAGGTCACTCCAGCCGTTGCCACCACCCAGGCTACTCCTCAGGCTGCTTGGCCCCTCCACCCACTTCCTCGGGCTGCTCAGATGCTCTGCTGCCACACAATCACCAGTCCGGCAGCCATCCAGGCCTCCCAGACTGCCCAGGCCATCGCCACCACTGCCCAAATCCCTCTTTGGGCTGTCGCCCTTAGTCCTTGGGCTGTTGCCACTGCCAGGGTGTAAATCTGGCCAATTTTCAAGCTGTTCACACTGTCGCAGTTGCCCAAGCACCAACTCAGCCACTTCCCAGGGTGCCACAATCCAGGTCTCTCCCCGGCCATTCTCCAGGCTGTCTGCTGTATCCACAGAGCACTGCCTGGCCTCTCCAGCTTCCACTAGCCTCTGCGGGGCTCTGTTGTGCACAACCCTAAAGTCCACAGTCCGTTGGGGGAAAGAAGAAAAAACCCTTCAGGGTGCTCAGGTAAGAGCTGGTAACCATACTTCCTGCCTAGCATTTGCTCTTGGTCACCATCCTAGATTTTCATACTTGTCTTGCTGCTTCTGTTTCTTATGCTGCTTGTTTCTCCTTCTTTGAGTTTTTTAGGATAACCAATTCTGATCTCTAATTCATCTATACTCACTAAACTGCAGATATAATATGCATGTAATTCCTTTTAAATATACCTGTGTGCGGTCACAAAATGTACTGTTATCTATTCCATATTCTGTGTTAGGCTCCCTTCTTTTTTCTTTATTTAGTATTTTATGCATATCATCTTCCAGTCTATTGAAGAATTCACCGTCATTCAAGAGAGTATGTGGTGAGTTCAATTCCTGTAAAGAAACTATAATTAACTTTTAACAAAAACCATCCAATAGCTAAACAGTAAGTACAGTAATACCTCGGTTCATGAACGCTTCTGTTCACAAACAATTCGGTTCGCGAACAGCAGCATTCACAAAATTTTGCTTCCATTCATAAACTCCACATCGGGTGACAAACATGACCTGCGGCCATCTTCCCTGCTCTGACACA